TCCATCTACTACTACTTTTACATTATGGGATTTTTCTAGCTCTTTTATCTTCATGAGCAAGTAACTTTTCTGGTCTGGACTTACTTCGGGTAAGTATTTAAAGCCATATTTAAGTGCAGAGATGTTTCCAGCTTGTAAAGTCTCTCTTTTTGCTTTCCAATTTAGCAACTCTCGATCATTAGCTAGACAATTGATGTCATGCCTTACACATTCTATCCCTTCCATTTTTTCTTTTTCTATTTGTTCGTAGTCCTGTGAGTTTGGATCAGCTGTTTTTTTCCATTCTTTTAGCTCTGCTTCTTTTGCGCTAAGTTCTTCATTCTTTATTCTGGAAGATTCAGAGTTTTCCTTCTTTTTTCTTTTTATACTGCGTTTTTCATCATTTATTATCTTCTCCAATTCTGTTTTGACTATGTAGTCTTCACAAAAATTACTCAAATCTGCATTTATCTTCAATATTTTTGTCTCATTCTTCTCTTCCAAGAGATTTTGGCTATTCACTATATATTCTACCGTATTAAGCAGGTGACTGTGTATTTTTTTCTCATCTAGAATCTCTCTTGGGCTATTGTAGATAGAAATGAGTATTTTCAAGTCTTCTTGATTAAATAAATTGTCTATTTTTTTTTCAATTATATCCAGTGCATTGCTGTCAGAAGCAGACTTAGCTGTTTTGATTTTCTTAACTAGGACAGCAATGTCATAGTGCTTTTCAAGAATAAGATTCAGTCCATAGTCTATCAATGACACATCAGTGCCTTCGTACGTCTTAGTGTACAGCTCGCCCAGCGTGTAGTATTCTTTTTCGGATGAGTATTTTTTAAAAGTATTTATGCATAATAAATAGGAGAAGTTATAATTTAAGATAAACTCTCTACACAAGCTTGCAGAGGAAGACTGATTTAAGCTCTCCAGGCTCGCAAACTTTGTGTTGTCGATCTCCAGAGTGTATGTTCTGGTGCTTATATCGGGATCACTTAAGATTAGACTTTCTGGTGTTTCATCCATGTCTATCTGCATACGTATTCCGTGCTCTGGATTGTATATAAGTATGTTTGGCGCTCCAAGGCGTTTGATTAGAGGGATAGCCGCAGACTTAATTGATTCTCTATCTCTACTATCCAATGCTTTTTTTAAATCGCATATAGTTTCTTTTCTTCGGTCGGTATACATAAAGTATTTGTATATATTATTTTTAACTGTACTTAAAAGAATTTCTCTCTCTTCTTCACTATAATTCTCGCTTTCTATTTCTATATTCCTGTCAAATATACTCTTTAGCACAGTCAAATTGACCAGGTCAAAGCCAAATTCTCTAGCCTTATACATGTCTTTCATGGTTTTGCTAGATTGGCAGGCGTCTAGTATTCCTTCGACATTTATCTTCAGCTTGGCTTCTTTTATGTTTGGCGCAGAGGTTTTCACTGCGTTTCTTTGAGCTAGTTTTCTAGCAGATCTTCTTTTCGTTTCAGGCACTTTCTTCTCTTTAGGCACTTCTATCTTTTCTATTTTTATATTCCATGCTTTTGCAGCTTCTTCTACCTTTTTAAACATGTACTGTTTCTGGACGGGGCTCATATCAGATAATAGATATAGATGAAAACTAATAATATGACTAAGTGATTTTTTTTTTCTGCTATCACACTCTAGTAAACATATTTCGTTTTCTAGAGCATTGATGGAGCGAATTGCTTCTTTTATTTTTTCCTCGTTATTTCTGTTTTTAATTTCTTTTTCATAGTTTGTTTTTCTTCCTTCTAAAGTTTTTTTCTTCTCGTCTATTTCATTAGTTAAAATATTATTTTTTCCATAAATCATGTTGTATGCACCTGTACTAATTATATAATCTTCATAAAAATCACTCAAATCTGTTTTTATCTTCAGAGAGTTTGGTCTATTGCCTGTTCCTTTTAATAATGAAGCATTGTCTACTATGTACTCTATTAGTTTGATTGTACTTCTTTGTGTTATCTTTTCGGCTTTGATTTGTTGTAGATTTTTCTCGATGGAAATGGCTATTTTCAGCTCTTCGCGGCTGAATATGCTGTTAATTCTTCCGACTATCTC